TACTAGCTTTGTAACTTTGAACCAGTTACGGAACTTCTTTGGGTCTTAGTTTCTCTTCTGCAAAATGGCAGCAATAATATAGACAGGTGAGGCTTAGATAAAATAATGTACCTAAACCTATAGTATAGCACCTGACTCTTATGAATGGAAAAAGGAAACTGAGGTCCTGAGACAGAGAATGACTTTCAGTTGATCGTTTATTTATTCAAGAATGTTTACTGGCAGGGTGGGCAGATGGTGTGATGGTTAAGGGCGCTGAACTCCCACATGGCCAACTGTGGTTCGAGCCCTGGGCCTGGTGACTTGCTCTCTCTTTCTTCTCTTTCTTCTCTCTGGCTCTCCCTGGTCAAAACTGAAAAAATAATAACAAATAATTTTTTTTAAAGAATGTTTACTTGGCACCTGCACAAGGCTAAACCCTATCCTGGATGCTGAGGACATCCTGGAGGGCAAAGCACAGCCATTGTTCTCTAGGAGGACACACAGATGAGAGCACAGGTGGGTGTTGTGGAAGCCTGAGGTTGTGCCCATGATAGTCAAGGAGAGAATGGATGGGGAAGGATCCAGGATGATACCTGAGATGGTGGGTTTAAGATGTGAAGACATCTAGGGCAGCAGTCCCTAAGGTGTTTGGCACCAGGGACTGGCTTCGCGGAAGAAAATTTTTCCATGAACCAGGAACGGGAAGAAATGGTCTTGGGATGATTTGAGCATATTACATTTATTGTGAACTTTATTTCTATTATTATTATGTTGTAATATATAATAATTATACAATTCACCATAATGCAGAATTGGAATCACTGTCTCAGTTCCACCTCAGCTCGTCAGGCATTAAATTCTCATAAGGAGCACACAACCCAGACCCCTCACATGTGCAGTTCACAATAGGGTCCATGCTCCCAAGAGAATCTAATGCCCCCGCTGATCTGACAGGATATGGAGCCCAGGAGGTAATGCCATTGATGGGAGCAGCTGTAAATAGAAGAAACTGGGGCTGGCAGGTGGCGTAGTGATTAAGGGTGCTGGACTGCCACATGGCTGACCACGGTTCGAGTCCTGGATCTGGTGGCTTGCTTTCTCTCTCATTCTGTCCCTTTCTGGTCAAATTAAAATAAATAAAGTTAAACAAAAGAATTCTTTAAAAAAAATACAGAGGAAATTTTGCTTGTTTGCTTACCTCCTGTATAGCCCGGTTCCTAACAGATCTGATTGGTACAGGTCATGGCCTGGGAGTTGGAAACTGCTGAGCTTGGGAATTAGGCAAGGGTCAGGCATGCCAAGCAGAGGTAATGACATGAACAAAGGCCCAGGAGTGAGATCAGCAAGAATATGTGCAAGGAAATCACAAGCAGCCCATGATTCTGGAACAAGAAGGGTGAAGTAGGGAGTGATGGAGAGATGAGACCAGATTGCGCAGGCAGGGACTGGATCTGAGTTGCTAATTTTCACTCATTCATTAGATAATTTATAGAGAGGTTGCTCTGGCCAAGCACTGGGCTAGGCTCTGGGAACAAGACAAAGATTAAAAAAA